TCACCTACGACCAACGGATCCCCACGAGTTTATGGGACGCCTACACCGTGCTGTGTCGTGGACTGACGGTGGTCCTGCGCTTACCTGAGCACTTGAAGTCTTTGGAGGCAATGGTGCGGCCAGTGGTGCCCCACAAAGTGGTGAAAAAAAACACGAAGTGTTTGGATAGATCTACCATAAATCATAGGTTATAAACAGTATAAACCAACTTAGTTAAGTTTCAACCTAGTTAAGTTTCCAAGTATGGACCATAAATCATAGTTAACTTATGTTAATTATAAACATTCATAAACCAACTTAGCTAAGTTTCTAGGTATGGGTCACCACCTTGTACTTGGAGGATCATCCCATCCCAGGTTATAACCCCACCTACGAAGCAGTTCTTAAGTGGGATGAGTCACCCAGTAGGAGCTTATACATTATACAAATTATCCATTGGGTAGTTCAATAACACTATTATCCATTGATACAAGATTATCCATTGAAACAATATTTTCCAATATATTAGGAGCTTGCTCAATATATTGGAACAATAGAAGATTATCCATTATACAAATATCCAGTACAAAAAGGATGACAATTCGGCTTTTGAGCACTGCTGAAATTGAGATACGGATGTTATGACATTGAATTTCTGGTCAACATGTGAACTTATCTGTGTAACAAAGAACAATGGGATGAACACATATTTACTAACGATAAGTTTGTTCATTCATCATTTCAACAAATTCTAGGGAGAACGATTCCATCCATATGGGTTTGTTGGATAATCGTTGTCATCCTGAAAAGTCCAGCATGAATTGGCTGGTGAATCATTCAGCACAACTTGCTGGTGACATCTGAGCATGTTTGCTGCCATAAAAATCATGTTCCCCATGAATTGGCTGGTTCAATCCCAATTTGTCCATCAAATCCAGATGCCATAAATCATCTTGAATCATGTTAAATCATGTTAAATCCTGCTAAATTATGTCGAATCATGTTATATAACTCATCTTAAATCATGTTAAATCATCTGAAAAATCATCTTAAATCCACCATGTTCATCTGAAACATCCACCACATTTTTGCTGGTTAAATGCACCATTTTTGTTTTGCTGGAACTCTCCAGCTGCCATGCGGGTTGTGTCCAGGACGGCGCCTCGTTGGACCTGGGCCTTCTGGATGCGGCCGCGCAGGATCCCACGGCGCCGTTGGAGGTGGTCGAGTGTCACTCGCTGGCGAGTGGCGCGTTGTGGCGCAGCACCGGGGAAATCATATGTTTTTGTTTTCCTAATGATAGTAATATATAGAGTAATTACTGTGTATTGTCATTATAAATATATATATATGTATATGCCTGTGTCTTTTTTTAACGGGTGCAGTTTTTAGTAGAGGCAGGAAGTTCGATTTGTGCGAATCATACCCCCGAATCATACCCCGAATCATACCCCCGAATCATACCCCAAAAAATCATTATTATGAATGTTTCTTTTGGGATCGTTTGGGATTGCATTGGCCTCACCTGCTATAATGAACCTGACAAGCTAATTGACCAGTGTTGGCCAGACCCAATGATCCCTGGCTACCTTCACATACCTTCACGGAGTGGCGAATCTTCTCCACGCGCACAGAGTCTCATCATTATCCCTAAGCTGGCTGGCTCTGGGTGGCTGGCTGGCTGGCTAGGTGGCTGGCTCAGTTGCTGCTGCTGGTATAATGGGCTGGCTAGTTGCAGCTGGCTGGCTGCGTGCCTGGCTGCTTGCTGTGTTGCTGATGAGGCTGATGAGCGGGATGACTCTGTGCGCGGCTGGCTGGCTGGCTGGCTGGCTGGTTGGCTGGCAACCAAACCAAAAATCCGTCGAAGAGGAACATAAGCCTAAGCGTAGCTGAACTAAAGGTACATGAGAAGAACATCCAGAAGAGACGCCGGCAGGCCGGCGGATATAAATCATAGATGTGCATTTAAATCTTCACATTTTTCATATTCAGGTCCTGTCCAAGGTCGCCTGGCAGGTCGAGCCATTGCAGCCATTGAGTAGCAATCGTAGTAGGTTCACGGTGGGAAAAAGAGACTCAAGCAACAAAGCTTCCTGAATTCAAAAAAGGATGGGTTTCCGAACTCTTTTCTTTGTAACCATTCGCCACTGGCTAGACTACGCCTCCCGCTGCTTCTGAGAAAAATCCGACAACAGCACCCTGCAGCTCCTGCAATGGCACCAACATGCCAACTCCAAAGCGCACACACACCACTTGCAGCACCTTGAAGCAGCACCCTGCAGCGGCACCACCAGCCAGCTCCAGAGCGGACACGCCACTCTAACAGCTGCACCCTGCAGCGTGCAGCAGCGACCTTCACATAGCACCCTTGCAGCACGAGTTGGGTACAGTACGTACCCTCCTTGCAGCACCCTGAAGCATCACCCCTTGCAGCAGCACCAGCAAGCTAGCCCGACAGCACCCTCAAGCAGCACCTTCCACCGGCATCCGCTCACCAGTGCATGCCCGCTCCAAAGCAGGGTTTACAGCACACACCACTCTGACAGCAGCACCTTCAAACATCACCCTCAGGCAGCAACTGCAGCAGCACCCTGAGCGCCACCAGCATCGCTCCAAACTGTACACACCACTCTGACAGCAAGCAACACCCTGCACCAGCACCTTGCAGCGGCACTCCAAGGGCACCACGATGCCCGCTCCAAAGCGCGCACACCACTCTGACAGCAGCACGCACAGCGTCAACAGCATGCCAGCTGCAGAGCGCTCCACGTATGGTATAATTACCAACAGTTGAAACATTTTCGGGGTAAGTGTGGGTAAATAACTAGACGCGGAGGATGCAGGGAAACACTAAATCAAGGTCCGCGAATCATACCCACGAATCATACCCCGAATCATACCCACGAATCATACCCCCTAGTCAAACTTCCCGGGCCGCGCTCCTCATTTTGAGACACACCCATATAAGTGGATAATAAACTATACAATGTTGGGGCCCCGTTTGATAGCTAAGTTGGTTCATAATTCTGAGAACTTTGTTATGTTGGTGATATATCTATAGTTAATGGGATTATAACCCATTTATTAACTGGGGGGGCACCACCAATAGTGGGAGAATGTGGGTGAATAAATTGAATAATTTGGAAGTAGGGAAAACTATCATGGGATGAATCTGTACTGGTGGGGATATAGTAGGAAATTTGATGGGATAATACGGGTTAATGGCATAATAAAAATGGATAATCATGGGATGACTAGAACAAGCAATCCCCAAGTTTGAGGTTTCTGAGAATGGGTACACCAAAAACAGTGGTAATGCGGTAATGTTGATAAAGCAATAATGAAACCAGCAATATTTTGATGGTTATACCACCCGTTTATGGTAAATGTTGGGACGGTTTCTTCTTGTTTTCGAAACATGATAGAGTCTGATAGAGGATTACAATGGGACGTAGCTAGATCAAGATCCCTATGATATTCTGCTTCCGAAAATATATAGCTTGTAATCCAAGAGTGGGCTCAAAGGGAGCATTTGCAAAGGGGCCATGTGACAAATAGCTATGTTAGATTACCAGAGGGTACATAATTACTTGATATTAGTTGGTGGTTGCCCCAATGGTGGATTCTGACCCCGTGGGCTAAGCCTACTTGCCCCACTTAGAACTAGGTGAACCGTCAAGTGGGTTTGTCTTAAAATGGGGTCTACCCCCAAAATGACAATTTTATTGGGAACATGATTATGACCCAGTGGATTAGAGGTACCCGATTTTGAGACAAACCCAAGTACACAAGGATGCTGCCAGGTATGCCCAAGTTCTTCGAAAGCGACCCAGCGACAGTTCAAGGCCGTTCCGGGTAGCCGGCGCAAGCCGTTGCATTCGATGGTGGAGAAAATCGGGGTGAACGAACCATGGGAAGATGGGAGGGACGGACTCAAATCTGGGGAGTTGCTTTCCATGCTGGTTTTGCTGGTCACAATGTGGGACAGCATTGGACTTTTGTTTTTGATATCCACCACATTGCAGCGGTGTTTCATGATTTCATTTTGGATTTTCTGATGTGATTTTTCATTCGTGGTAGAATGCGGTTTTAGCAGTGTGCCGTATGTGGTTAATAAATTTGAATAATCCAATCTATAGCCGAATTATATAAACCACAATTACTAAGAGCACATAGCAACTTGGATAGAAATCCAGGTAGCTGCGGCAGTGGTTTTATCGTTTCGGTGGCTCCAGGATACATCTCTAGCTGCTATATCCCTGCAGCCCTCTGAAGGTGGTGCCCCGCCGGTTATGCTTGTTGGTTTCAAAAAACCATTAACTACAAACATACTGTGGAGGGAAGAAAATCTTCACCAGTTGGTAGATGATGTAGATGGTTTATGCCGCTATAATTGGCTATAATATGATAATATGTTATAATCGCAAATTATTTACAGTGTTTCATAGGAATCCCAATAGTTACTGCAGTTACTGGTGCAGGATTTCGCAACCATCCACAGTATCTACCATAAACATCCAATCCAACCATACTTGGTGGCGAACTACCCACGGATCGTTTTTGTAGGTTAGTTCACCCTATTTGTAAGTAGATTTACCCTCTGGTTATTTAACAGTTTGCCATGGAAAATCACCAAAACAAATGGAGGTTGATGTCGCTGGGAAAATCATCTATTTCTATGGGCCATCTATACCATGGCTATGTAACAGTCATAACCAGTGGGTACCTTAGAAAAATCCCACAAAACCAGTGATGCCACTTAAGATGGGATTCAACCCCCCAGCAACCAACATCAACCATCACCAACAACCAGGGGGCCCCGCGGCCACGATAGCCAAGTTGGTTTATAACTACAATAACTAGGGTTTATGGTAGTTATATCATGTTATAACTATAGTATATTATAGCTAGATGGGGTTTGAAACCAGCAAACATAACTAGGGGGGCACCGCCTTGTAGGATGTTTTAGATATATCTACAGTACGATCAATATCCATCCATCGTATAGTTCACTTAGTATTAACCTAGTTATACATCCACATTGTACAGTTATGGCCATTTACCAGTTATAACTGGTTATTTTTATGGGATTATACACTCTATAAATGGGGTGTTGTCAGTACTTATAACTGATATAACTCGGGCCATAACTGGCTCGTGAATTCTCCCCGCCCAGGGCTCAAAAGTTTCAGTCCCGACGACCTACAACTGGAGGCGGTCTTGGTCACTTGGACCTTGAGGTCGACCTGGACCTGGATACTTGGTGGTTCATCCCAGTTAGTAAGTGGGATATAACCCCAGTTATAAATGGGATAAGTAGGGTTAATCCACTTATAATTGGGGTTATCACCCACTTACTAACTGGGATGAACCACCAAGTAGGGACAATTTCACCGTTGAACCAGAAAAATCGTGAGGCAAAATAGGGATTAACATATGGAATTTTGCTGAAATATGTGTCTGAAAATGGGATGTACCCAAGAATAGTCCTCTTCAATGGGAAAATGATCATAAACCATCGGTTTTTGAGGTACAGCTGTACCTTATTTTCAGACAAACCCATTTAGCCATCAAACCTTGAGGGAAACATAGGGATTTGACACGTCGTAACCAATGAAACCTTGGGAAATAGAGAAACCAACATGGGGATTCGTTGTTGACAGATAAGTTGGAGGCATCATGTTTATGTTTATGCATGCTACACTGTATGTATATATATATATAATATACATATGTTGGGTTATAAATTATATCTATAAAATATTTAAGTGGAGTATGTTGTGGTTTATAACGTGAAGATGATAAGTTAGTTTAAAGCATTCTATAGCTACTACAAGAGTAGGGCTTATTTTGATATTTGCCGGTGGATGGATTTACGGATATTTTTTTCTCAGTATCGCCACCCAAAAACATGCTTTGGGTTGTGGCGGCTCCTGCGCATCAAGTGCGCATCAAGTCAAAGTGTCCCTTACAAAGATTTCGCACCGAGAGTCCAGGCATCCAAAACTCTGAAATTTACAGGAGAGTGGGACATTGGAGATCTAGAACCCACACGAACAAAAAACAGAAAGGCTGACCTGCTTCCTCAAGGCACTGACCCAGAAAAAAGGGGTGCCAAGACGTACCATCCACCGCAGCAAGCAGCGGTTTGATTCCACTGCCAGATTCATGGAGATTACAGGCGCACCAAAAGGTTGGGATTTACCCTCTGGTTACATAGCCATGGAAAATGGCCCATTATGGCCCATCTATAGATGGTTTACCTATGAAAAATGGTGGATCTTTCCATGGCTATGTTAAATAACCAGATGGTACCAACGAGAACATCGTTTTAATTATTTTGTTTTGGCTTCAGATTGTTTTTATCAACAGAAAATCCATCGCAACCAAGCAGATTCCACATATTTGTCGCCACCATTGGGCCCAATGAAATAGGTCAGTTATGACAAATTGGTTACATCTAATAATTTGAGATGTGTTCATGATGGATATATCTGCCGACTGGTTGAGATAAATTATGATGAACAAAATCCTGGCGGATTTGCCGACCTGGAATCAACCACCAGAAGATTGAAATTTAGCCACCCAAAATAAGTTGGTATACGAAGTAACGAAATGCAGGGGGTTCTGGTGGATATATCTGTAGTTATCTGCAGTTGGATGTGTTCATACACAAACTTATACTTCGGAAGGGTCCTTTCTATAGGTCATTGAACTGTCAATTGAAAGTGTAAAGATGGATAGATCACCAACGATAGAGAGCCAAGTTCAAGTGTACATCCCCGATGAATACTGACAAACATGTGTGTCTGAATGACAACAGATTGGGTACATATTGGATGTTTTGTGCCATGGTAGTCCTGGTTGGTGGTTTGGAACATGTTTTGTTTTCCATTCAGTTGGGCTGACCAACTCATATTTTTCAGAGGGGTAGGCTCAACCACCAACCAGTAGTGGGATGTTTGATAGCGACGTGGTGCTACCGGAACCCTCCGGTAACATGGCACGTTTGATCGATTTCCGAAGGGTGAAATTGGTGACCTGACCGCTGACGAATAGTTGGAAACTTTGTTGAAGGCGTTTGATGAAGCTATCACCGGTAACATAGCCCGTAAATATGGACCTTATATGACCTATATATGGTAGGTACCTCCAATTTAGGTTCCTGAAACGGCTACCGATTTTGTTTTTCTGTCCACATGCTATGACATGTAAGTGTGTTCACAACAGTTGAAGTGGGATGTTTCACACGATCACCAGTCTTTGACGCCATTCCCTGCAAGGTGGCTAGTTATGCTTGTTGGTTTATGTTGATCCCATTCACTCGTTCGATAATGTAGTGATGTTCACCATTCATCTATCATCAGACAACACAACCATTAATTCCAATGTGCACTATATAACTATATAGTTTAATATAAATCCCAAGTTGTTCCCCTAGATGCTTCAGTGATTACCTTCTCTTGGGTTACCATCACCTCAGCGTTTCTCCAAAAACACTCCGCGCAACGCGCGTTGCGCGAGCTCCGCGAGGAAAAGGTGGATGGCTCCTTGGGGTTGCTGCATCCTGCCCGAGTCCCTTGGTTCCAACGGCAGCGATGGAGGGAGCCTCCGGTCGGGTCTCAGGACTTGATCATGGTTTGGTGAGGTTACGACTTGATCAATGGGTTATATTGGTTAGTAACTTTACATACACCTATGTACAATTGGTGAATAGATGTTACTAGTTTATTATTGACAATGAGGTTCTAACCCAGGTATTTACTTGATAACCTCACTGCATGGATACTAACTCAGCAGGAGTTACTATGTATTATGATCTTCCAAGTAGATGCCGGGTATGTGGGGCGCTGAATGCGACCCTCAGGGCCCATTGGAACTGAAGCATCAAGCATCGAGGAGGATTGGGATTTTTTGTTATATACCAACATTGGGAATTGAGAGTTGGTTTATGATAGATAAATCGATTTTTCTTGGTTTGTAACTTGGCTATACAACTATGGTTTATGGTAGATGTATCTATAGTTGGATAGGTTTATAAGCAACTTACAATTGAGGATGGCAAATTTCAGAACTAGTTGGATACCAAACTTGACCATGTTCTCTGTGTGTACCATAACTTTAAAGTCTGATTCACGCTCTGTGATTCCATGCAGTTGCTGACATGATGGTTGCCCTTATCCCTGTTTCAAACTGCTCATTTTCTATCCCACATGGGATTGGGATGAACATGATGAACGAAGAAAACCCCGGAAAAGCATAGCCGTACAGCCCTGAGTTTCCCTTAAACTATTGACCATGACAAAGCGCAGGATTTGGTGCGATTGATGTTTATAACTGGTTGGTGGTTTCAAACATTTTTTTTATGTTCCATCATATATGGGATAATCCTTCCCATTGACTAATATTTTTCAAGATGGTTAAAACCACCAACCAGTTTTAGTTGCCATTCTCAGGTACCCTCTGGTAATTTGTTACAGTTCGCTATTGAAAATGGCCCAGTCGAAATAGTTGATTTACCCATTTAAAACCACCAACCAGTATATAATCTCAATATATCTCAATATAATCCTATATAATCTCCATATAATCACCATATAGTCCCATTATAATCCCCACCATCTAGTTGCTATCCATGGTTGTTGCACCACCAACCAGATTATTATTAACCATATATTAACCATCAAATGGGGGATTTTCCAGCCAGGATGGGTTGTTTTTTTGGGGTTCCCATCTTTTTGTGCCGACCCAGGATCCTGAGACTTTGGAAATCATCGACGGGCACCTTGGACGCTAATATGGGCGTTTTGGGAAGATTCGTTGATCTATGGCAGTTTTTTTTACGTAACCCCAAAATAGACAGAACAGAGGGAACTCTGGGAATATGAAGTAAATATGATATTATACCTGGGTGGTTCATCCCAGTTAGTAAGTGGGATATAACCCCAATTATAAGTGGATTAACCCTACTTATCCCATTTATAACTGGGGTTATATCCCACTTACTAACTGGGATGAACCACCAAGTATCATCTATGACATCCTGGAAACACTCGAATGTAACTTCTTGGGGGTTGCTGTACATGGTGGTGCCCCAGGTTTGTTTACTGAAGTTGATTTTTCCCGGGCAGATTCCGCCACTTTTTGTGGTGAATCTGCTCGTAATGGAATGGAAACCTTGCAACGACGAGGATCTAAGCCATAAACAAATGGTTGGCTGATGGTCGATATGTGGTAACACAGAACCATACAGAACCATTTCATTTGGGTACATTTCAAACAGGTTTCAGTTTTTTCATCAGAAGTAATCTATGAAATACGATGAAACTGATTTAAACTAATAAGATGTTGGATGATGTTTGCGTATGTTTCCCGTAAAATATGATGAAATAATATGACATAGGCTGTGATGGGTTGCATATGGTTGCATTGGGTTATATCTGATTTACCGTACAGGTGAAAATGAAAGTTGCGGCCTATGTCAGCGCTTTGGAAAATGGAGAGCTTTTGCCAGCTGAGAGCTCGGCTATGGACTTGATATCGCGTGGGGCCCTCCGTTCAGACGACCTGGCCCGCAGCTTGGTTCCACACTTGCTGCATAAAGCAGACAAGCTTCGACGAGGATGTGTGTTGCGTCCTGGAGGATCTACTGGTGAGGCAACCGGCCTCATGGAGCTAGGTTTCTTACTGGGCGGGGCGCTCAACAACTCTGCCCTGCAGCATGCATTTGGCATCAGCAAGAGGCATGCCAAGATAGCTGCTCCTCCTCTCATCAACCCGCTGCTTCCGTACTTCTTTGCGGTAGAAGGGGAGGCTCTGCAAGAAGCAGTGTCAACCACTTTGAACTTGCTCAAGAACCGCGAACACTACATGTTAGTCCGCGACGAAGTGGTGTACGCCAGGTCCTTCAATGCCATCTACGGAATGGGAACTTGGTTTGGTGTGGTTTAGTAGGGTTTTGGATGGTTTTTGGGGCCCATGCTGGCCCATGTTGGGTGACATGGGTTCCTTGTTTGCAAGGGGGGTAATGTTCCATGTGTAGTTTCGGGGTCACATACCCCAGGGATAATTACGGTTTTGCTGTTGGGGACGAAGGGATGTGAAAGGGGCTGGGGGAGGAATGCTGGGAAAGGATTGGAAAGGGTTGGTTTTGTGTGGTTTAGTAGGGTTTTGGATGGTTTTGGGTGGTTTTGGGGCCCATGCTGGCCCATGTTGGGTGAGGTGGGTTCCTTGTTTGCAAGGGGGGTAATGTTCCATGTGTGGCTTAGGGGTCACATACCCCAGGAATAATTTCGGTTTTGCTGTTTGGGATGAAGGGATGTGAAAGGGGCTGGGGGAGGAATGCTGGGAAAGGATGGGGGAGGTTGGTTTTGTGTGATTTACTAGGTTTTTGGGTGGTTTTGGGGCCCATGCTGAAACCTGTTTGAATTTGAAATAACCAAATGGAAGTTATCATACTTGAAATGTACCCAAATGGCTTCAATCATTGAATCAGTGAGGCGGGGTATCAATGTTTCGTTGCATACATTCCATCTTCAGGTTGCGTGTGGGATTCTTGCAGGATGTGCCACCATCAAAAGTAACTGTAGCTTGTATCAATGGGAATTCCAGGATCTAATACATGGAGGTATGTAAACGTACCATATGTTTGGCCATATTTGGTTGGGATATTCCCTTAGGCCTTAAACATGGGCCTTATATATGGCGGTAGGTACCTCCAATCAATCGGTTCCTGAAATTCCCACTGTAATGTATCTGGGTCGGTTCAGAAAAGGAGTAGAGCCTAACATGTCACTTTTGATGAGACACATGATCATACACCATGGGATTTTGGTGTAACATTGGGTAAACTCATATAACCTCGGAGTCAGCAAAATTACTTTACTTCGTGTGATCCCCACCATGACATTTATACATGTTCTTACTGGCACATCTTCTGGCATTCTATCTGACATATCTTCTGACATTCTATTTGGCATTCTATCTGGCATATCTTCTGGCATATCTTCTGGCATTCTATCTGGCATTCTATCTGGCAAATCTTCTGGCATTCTATCTGGCATATCTTCTGGCATTCTATCTGACATATCTTCTGGCATTCTATCTGGCATATCTTCTGGCATATAATCTGATATATCTTCTGGCATTCTATCTGACATATCTTCTGGCATATATTCTGACATATCTTCTGGCATATCTTCTGGCATATCTTCTGGCATATCTATCTGGCATATCTTCTGGCATATTTTCTGGCATTCTACCTGGCAAATCTTCTGGCACTCTATCTGACATTTTATCTTCCTACATGAGGTCCGGCAGGGAACACTTGGCGTGGATACTCGCGGTTGAGGTCCGGCAGGGAACACTTGGCATGGATACTCGCGGTTGAGGTCCGGCAGGGAACACTTGGCATGGATCCTCGCGGTTGAGGTCCGGCAGGGAACACTGGGCGTGGATGGTCGTGGTTCAGGTCCGGCAGGGAACACTGGGCGTGGATGGTCGTGGTTGAGGTCCGGCAGGGAACACTGGGCGTGGATGGTCGTGGTTGAGGTCCGACAGAGAACACTGTGGATCGCGAGTCGCGGTTGAGCAAGGACGACGAGGACGACAAGGACGACAAGGATGACAAGGAGGACGAGGAGGAGGAGGACGAGGCAGGAGGAGGCGGAGGAGGCGGAGGAGGAGGAGGAGAAGGAGGAGGAGGCAACTGACATAAAATCTAACAACCCTCACCTGGCAGGTGGGGAAAAAGACTAAATTCAAAGGAGAGGATATCACACTACTCCAATTTTTGTGCACCCGGGTAATCAGGACCACCCCCAAACTTTTGGGAAATGACTATAAATTCACAGACCTTATAATAGCTCATATATGCCAATAACAAATGCAATTGAATAAAACATGGAGTTTCCTACTGTTATGGCCCTTAACAGTTACAAATGGGCTTATTTCATGCTATATATATATATCACCTTAGTTATAGGAGTTACAAGTCCATTTAAAACTGTTAGTTGGGCCATAACTGCACAAATTCTCCCGTTTTGGGTTTCCGTTGCTTCACTGTGCAGGTTGCCATTGCTTTCCTCCAAGTCGGTGGGCTTCAGCGAGGATATCTCAAAGGCGTGCCGAGAGTATCATCCTGCCTTAGGGAATGTGGTGATGGGTACAATGAAAAGCTATGGTTGATGGTCTATGGTTTATGGATGTTTATGGTCTAACTAACATTGTGGTAAACTAACATTATGGTTGATGGTCTATGGTTCCCCTCTGGTAAACTAACATTATGGTTGATGGTCTATGGTTTACTGGAGGGTGGTTTGGAACATGATTTGTTTTATGAATTTCCGTATATTGGGAATGCCATCATCCCAACTGACGAACTCATATTTTTCAGAGGTGTTGAAACCACCAACCAGATGATATATCTATGATAATTGGTAGATCTCACCCATATCAAAGCCCATCTACCCTCTGGCAAACCAACAGTTTTTGCCATGGAAAATCATCATCCTTAATAGGTAAATCAACTATAAATGGGCCATGTTCAATTGCTATGTTAAATTACCAGAGGGTATAGAATGTGGTAAAGCCAGTGCCATAAATCTACCATTTGGGGATGGTTTATACCATCCAAAAATGCTAATTTTGGGGATGGTTTGTTATTGGCTTTTCCACATTACACCAAAAAAACATGGGAGATCCCCAGAATGTTGGGAACTTACGATCACCAGAGTTGTTGAATAATTACTTGTAGTTACTAAGTTACCAAGTACCATGGAAGTGCTGAAAAATCTCAAACCATGGGTTTGGTCACAGTTTTTAACAAAATGATGCTCCGCACTTGGAGGATAGCATTTTGATACTTTATGTTGTTTCTCCTTGGATGATGATGTTCACAGCACCACTGCCTTCTGGGGTATTGCTGTTTGGACCTTTGCAGTAACAGGAGCTGCTTTCCCGGGCAAGCTCCTGCCAATCAGGGTAAAGTTGTTTCAACTGATGGACTACAAAGAAATCTCAAGTATAAACTACAGTACGCGCCCCCCTAGTTATGTTTGTTGGTTCAATTTCAACCCATTATATAACTAGCTTTATATATCCACCACAAACCATAGAATTGCCTAGTTATACACCAGCTTAGCTATCATAAATCAGCTATAAATTCCATGAAATCCCCGTTTTGGTTGTTTGAATCACCATTTTCCACCACAAATAGTGGTGGTTGGGAGCCGATCGGAGCTTTGCTTGTACTATTTTGGATCACCATGTTCCCTATCAGCCATGGGGAGCCGGAGCTACAATCAGAGTCTCCCCAGACATGGGAGCCAGTTGTGGCCCAACGAACAGTTATACCCTCTGGTAATTTAACATAGCTCTTGAAAATGCATTTTTTTACTGGGAGAATCAACTATTTCGACTGGGCCATTTTCAATAGCATAATAGTAACAAATTACCAGACGGTAAATGGAATGAAGTTTAACCTCCTATAACTAGTTGGTTATAAGTTATAAATCATGATTTCTAAGTCATACAAATAACTGTTCGTTGGGCCGTAACTGTAGACCCAACTTGCCATTTGAAGGGGGAACATGAGAATCAACTATTATTTTTTTCGGGGCGGGGTACCCTATTCTTAGACAAACCCGAATCAGTTCTACAAAGTGGTTCCCCTGATTTTCTACTTTGTGAAGTTGCTTTGTAGCTATAGATTAGCTATGGTTAATGGTTATATCGAATTAGTTCTATAATGTTGGCTGCCTAATAGTAATTACCCCCCTATTTTTTTTTTAGGGGGGGGTCAACCTTCCTATAATAATTTTTGGGAATCTATAGCTGGGATCATGATATGTATCTGATAGATTCTCCATGGTTTTGTTGGGTTTCTGTTAGATTCTGCATAGGGTTTGGTTGGGTTTCTGAGATGTTCTGCATAGGTTCTGCATGGATTAGGGTTGGTTTCTGTTAGATTCTGTATGGAATTTTGGAACCTTATAGGGGAAGTGGACATGGAAGTGGGGGCAGAGGTGGTGGAGGCGAAGGAGGAGGACGAGGAGGAGGAGAAGAACGAGAAGAAGAAGGAGAAGGAGAAGGAGAAGGAGGACAACAAAATTGGAGTTGCGGAAAAAAGTTTCCACTATTGCCATGCCTGGTGCAGGTTTGTTATTGCTATTCTGGGGCTTGCAAAGGGGGTACCCTTTGTGGACCTGTTTTCTTGTTTTTTTTAATAAGGGTTTTATAAGGAAATCAGCTGTTTGGTAATTGGATCAGATTTCTGGAATCTAAGCTTTTGCTAATCAAAAGTGAAGGCTGCTTTGAAAAGGATTTGCTTTACTTGACTCTTTTGGCAATACTAAAAGTAAATGGAGCTAATTGACTTTTAGTATTGGAGAAAAAAAATGGAGTTGGGAAAAAGGTTTCCACTATTGCCATGTTGGGTCCACTATTGGCCATGCCCTCTGGACAAGGTCTGAACATGACTCTTTTGGCAATACTAAAAGTAAATAGAGCTAATTGACTTTTAGCATTGGAGAAAAATTGGAGTTGCGGAAAAAATGTTTCTACTATTGACAAGATATCACTATTGGTCAGACAACATTATAATTATTTATTTCATTCTATATTAACTATGGTTCATGGTTATATCCAATTAGTTCTATATATCTATATCTATAGTTGAGCTTTATACCCCAACTCAGCTATCGCGGCTTCGCTTCCAGGTCCGGGGCATGTTGGAGGAGAAGCATCCGACGCCCGCCACCGGAGCTGGGAAAGCAACGCACTGGGGATAGGGCTACACCAACAGTTATACTAGTTGGGCCACAACTGCATTAGTTATATATATATAGATAGAGATATATACATGATATATCCACCATAACCTAAGGTTATATACCCTCTGGTAAACTGTTACATAACTATGGAAAGATCCACCATTTTGTAGCTGGGTAAATCCACGAACTAAATGGCAATTTTCAATAGCTATGTTAGTTTACCAGAGGGTATAAATGAACATATAACTCTTGCTTAAGGTATCATCGGAGTTATAGACCCATTTATAACTGTTAAGAGTCATAACTAAATGTAAGATATAATCACGTGTATAGCAGCGAGATGCAGCGAGAGTAGTTTTTGACCCACAGTTGTATCTGGTTGGATCAAATATCCCAAGAAGAAGCCGAACTTGTCAGGTTAGTGAAATATTATTTACCTAGATGTGATGGATTTAACCAACCAAAATCGGGTATTAATATGATCTAATGATATCTAATCGTATATTTCTTACCCTCAGAACAGTTCTGGCCCAACTAACAGTTTTTTTTTTTTTTTAAATGGGCTTATAATCATGTATAACCAACTAGTTATAGGAGTTATTTCATTCCATTTCAGGCCCTGTTAGTTGGGCCATAACTGCATTAGTTATAGATATATATATATATATAGATATCATGATATATCCACCAGAACTTAATGTTATATCACTGTTCGTTGGGCCATCACGGGCCATGTTTCGGACGTCATGATCGCTCTGTTTCGCAGCTTAGGAACTTCTGTTTGCCCAAAGGCGTGACGTCCCTCATTGTGGAGGCGCCCTGCCCGGCCTGGGGGTGTCAGCTTGAATCATGCTGTTTCAACTTAAGAATCATATTTATATTATATTATAGTATTGAATATTTACAAACATTGAATAATCATATATAATTATATTATATTTATATATATATATATATATATAAATATTAATCATATCTTGGAATATGACATATATATTGAATATATATATATATATTTATAATTATAAAGATTTTGGTCGAACCAACATATGATGGAATACGTTGTTTTGTATACTATGGGAATATTAAGGAAAAACAACATTTTTGGGGTTGCCAAAACTCTTTCACTACCAACTCACCCGAAGTCTTCGCGCGGACAGGTGGTGAGACCTGAAGTTCAGGTTTGCGTACCATACAGAGCCTCGGTGAGCAGAAAGGTTGAGTCACCAAAAAATGGCGAGATCTTTGCGGAGACCCTGTAGGTCTTCTTGGAACATTTTTTGAACTAGACATGATATATAAAATTATGCACATATATAGTTATTGTATGTTATTCTATGTTATAGTATCCTCTTATATATTATTGTATGTGTTTCCGTACGTTATTGTTTGTTTGTCTCCAGACAGTTTCAGATGTTTCAATATGTTGCAATCAAAAGCTGATATCTCGACATGAAATATGTCAACCAAACCTGGCATTGCTAAGAGCTTCTTGATGGCCATCAACGCTCAGCCACATCTTGTGGGTGTACCTCACAGTTATGGCCCAACTAACAGGGCCTTAAATGGAATGAAATAACACCTATAGCTAGTTATATATATATATATGTGTGTGTGCGTCATGAAATAAACCCATTTACAACTGTTAGTTGAGCCATAACTGCAGATGTTCATGACATTTCGTTTGTTTGCAATGTTTTCCCCTTTCTCATTCTCTCCCCGGCGCTTTCTCTCGGGCCATATGCTATGGTCCACATCGGTCCAGCCACCTGATGGTTCTCAGGTTACCAAGGTTTTCGTCTACTGGCAGTTATGAAGGCGACAAGCGATCGGGTGATGCTGCTGTTGCCCATTGTGTGCGAAACACGCGGGTGGTATTGGGTCCACTTGTATACTGGGCCCTGTATGGAGGTATCATTTTTTCTTGGTATCTTGAAAGTTGTGAATACATGATGGATATAGGCTCAGAAGAATGGTTATGGGATGTTATGGGTAAAACCAGGGTCGTTGGTCCATACCCACCTAAAAAAAATCATTTTGAACTGCAAATTATTTTCTGCCGATTTATTGATACCCCAATACATACCAACAGCACCCAATATTGTGAGTTACCTAAGTTATCTATTGCCATCAATGTAGTAATTAGCTAGAAGCACTTTTTTTTGTGGGAAGCCCAATGCCATAAACCTACGATTTGGAAATTGTTTATAGCGCCCAGAAAAGCGCCCATGAGGATACCGTGATTTTGGAGATGGTTTATGGCAGCCAGGGTGTAGCAGATTAATGATATGTCATGCAAGGTGGTGGTGCCCCCAAAGTTACAATTGGTTTACAACCATTGTAGCTATGCAAGTTCTATCCCGCATTTTGACCAAACAGTCACATTGGAGTTATTTGCCTGAACTTAGCTATCATAAGTCATAAGTCAGCTATAATCCCATTAAACCACATGAATTCCACATTATGTTTTGGTTAAATCACCATTTTCCTATGGTTAAGCTATTTATCAACCAACTTAGCGATTCCGAACTGGGGCACCACGGGTTTCTGTCTCGGTTACCAGGATGGTGCCTGGCTGACAGAGGATGCTGCTGATGTCATGTCCAAGGAGCGGGATTTCAAGCTGTCGCGCCATGATGTTCTTGATGTTATTGGGAATAAACCATGAAAACAATCAGAAAAATCGGGTCTAACATGTTTCAAACAAATGACTGAAATGCTAGTAACTATACAATGTTTTTTTGCGTTTGATTTAGGAAACATTGGGGGATGTTATGCATTTTTGATGATGTTTATAGAAGGGGGTGATGTCAGCAAAGTGGGATTTTATTCAACCTAGCTGAGATTTTCACAATTCACAGGATTTGTTGCACCAATGAAATGTTTTTAAATATCTTAAAATGTCATAGTCCAATCCCAGTTTTTTGGGTTCTTTGTCAGATACTTGTCGGATAAGTCAGATGGTTGAAACCCTATAAATAATGGGATAAACCATCTATCAACTGGCGCAGGATTTCGCAACCATCCACAGTATCAACCGATCAAAACATGGTAAAACCCCACTGGGTTGCCAGGGTTGCCATGCCTACCTGAGGAGTTGGGAATGGAGCGCCCAAAGCGCCTGAGTTTTGAGGCCTTAAAACCTGGAGGACTGGGACAGGTGAAATCTTGCAAAAAGAGATGTCTACTTGGTGGCGAAATAGCCATTATGTTATATCCCTGGTTTTCTTCGTGGGATTTTTGTAGGGCAAATCTTTGTTAATCTATACTGAACTAGGGTGAATTAACCGACTTATGATCCGTGGGATGAGCCACCAAGTAGGACTTTAAACACGGGGATGAGTCAAAAAACTACACAAAAATTGCGGGGAAGAACATCCATAAATCCCAGCAATTTTGATGTTCAAAAGGGCACCAGGTTTTTTTTACCCATAGCCACATGGGAATTGTTAATTTAGCATAAATTAACCATCAAACATAGGGACAGAATGGATAAGGTGGTTCAAGCAATGGAGACAGAATAGGGATATAGCGATATCACCAACAAAATGGATGAGGTGGTTCCCCCCACTTAACTTTACGTTGGTTTTCAAGTGGGTGACAGTGGCGATTAGATGTCTGTTAGAGTTATATACTTAGCGAACTGGATGATTGGGTTGAAAAATGCCAACTGAGCATTAGGCGCCACATTGTAGGAGTACCCTCTGGTAATTTAACATAGCTATGGAAAATGACAATTTTTAATGGGAAAATCAACTATAAATGGCAATTTTCAATAGCTATGTTAGTTTACCAGAGGGTAAGTCCTTATTTTCCACTCACTCCACCATTTTGGCAAGCGTAATTTTTCCATGTCACAGAACCAATGCTGAGAGTTGCGTTGTCAAAGCCTAACGGGTGAATCAACTGTAAAGCACTCACTTGTGGTTGATTTCTTCATTTGATGGGAATCCCCCAAAAACGGGGGTTGATTTTTCAGGAGGAAGAGATTGCTGTATAAAGCTTTTTTTTACCGCGGCTAGTCTAATCTGGCATTGGAAATTTCATGTAAGCACCCTCCGGAATCAAACTTGGCAATGGAAAGTCCTTTCTTTATAGGTGATTGTCCCAGTCAAGTCCAAGATATTCATTGTTATACTCCCAGTATAAACAGGAAATCTCCCATTTAAAGATGATAGCCCCATTTAACACCATTGGATTTTCCGTTACCTCGTTTGATTACACCAGAGGGTACTTATTAGTACATATTAAGACTGATCCCCATGTGATCCCATTTGTAGTTCATATTCCCACCACCGAAGATTTCCAGTGCCAGGCTGCCTTTTTGTAAACTTAACATGGAGAAGAAACTAACTCTTGTTGATTCGGAATGGTGAGACTAAGAAACAAATTCCAAAGACCCTCCGGTAATCAAACATAGCAATAAGTTGAATAAAGGATTTTCACTTGTTGTTGGATGATGAATGATGATGATAATGATGAGGATGTTGGATGATGATGATGATGATGATGATGATGATGATGATGATGATCATGATGATGCTGATGATTTTTCCCTCAAAGGTTCAGCCGAAGCAGCTCCAACTTGTCACCACTCAGACCCTTCGTGCTCAGATGCTTCAGGCGAAAGAGGAAGAAGGAAAAAGATGCGTAAAAAAACATGTGATTTCAATAATCATGCATATATATATATATATACATACATACATATACGTACGTATAATGTATAATTCAAATATATAATTATTATTATGTATAGATCTTTTCTGCTGGTCTCCTCTTGTCTGTTGTTCTGCTCTCCTCTATTGATTTCCTCCTCTCTATTGTTCTTATCTGCTCTGCGGTTCTTTTCTCCTCGGTTGTGCTTATCTGCTGTGTTGTTCTGACTTGCTCTGTTTGTTGATGAGAGGATTTCTTGATGAGAAGGTGTCTTGATGATAGAGCTTTTTGATGGTAAGGTTTGTTTGTCAGAGGGCCAGAGGGTATATATTGGGATACCGCCTGTATCTTTTTTCTTGATCTGTATCACATAACAACCCCAGATCACATTACCCGTTGACTTCTTTATAATTATAGGCGAAGGCAACATGTGTAGATATGTTGTCGCAGTTTTTCACGTCAGAGGTACCAACCCCCCAAAAAAACACCCTTATGGCCTTTAACAGTTATACATGGGCTTATAATGATCTATAACTCTATAACCTTAGTTATAGGAGTTTTATGTCCATTTATAACATTTTATAACTATTACCCTCTGGTAAACTAACATAGCTATGGAAAATCACAATTTTCAATGGGTAAATCCATTATAAATGGGCCATTTTCACTAGCTATGTTAACTTACCAGAGGGTGCCATAACTGCACCAAGTCTGTTTGTATCAAACCTCCCTGAGAGATTGTAGGATATGGTGCGGGAGAAGCACCCACACTGAGCGATGTCATGGCAAAGGCAGAGGCTGGGCGAAGCCGAAAGAATCAGCGGTTCAGCGGGTTTCACAAGCTTTCAATGATATCCTCTGGTCATGACTAACATAGCTATTGAAAATAGCCATTTATAGTTTTTTTTCTTTCCATAGTTATGTTAGTTTACCAGAGGGTATCTTATATAATCCAGAAATGTGATGAAATTGAAGGGTATGAATGATCCACAAATGCCTTTTTTGTGGTGTCAAAATATGTCCAAATCATCCGGTCATCCCACGTGGTAATGGAAAAACCCTTATACTGTAGATGATTGTCCCATCAACGTCTCTATTTATAGGCGATTTCCAATTGCCATCTTTAATTGCAAAAGGGTTTTTCTCAGCAGCTGGGGGATGCACCTGGACAAGACTCTCCAACAAGTGAGGATTAACATCTCTTCGACTCAACAAAAAGGCCTATACAACAGATGGAAATTTCCTAAAATAGGCCTGTACCCCCAAATCATCAATTAAAATCCGTGGGATTTTCCATTATGAACCGTCCTTCTTGGGTTACCTCCATTTTGGGACCCCCCCTACTTATATATAATATTTATATATATATATATAGCCAACATATCAGTGGCTTGGCGTGTTTCATGTTTTTTTTGTTGCCTCCATCTCTCAAAATGGGGACGTTGGGACCCAAAGGACTTGAGACGATCCAAAACTGGAGGGTCGGAAAGGTATGGCCGCAAAACTATGTTGGTAGTGAAATGTAGTTACAGTAGCGGACTAGCACTTACAATATGTTTCTTCAAAACTGTTGTATTTGATGTTGATGCCAAAAAAGAGTTGAATATGCCGTAATATAGCTCCAAAGCAACATTAAATAGAAAACTCATCAACAAAAGTGCCTGGTCTAATTTGAGAATTTCACCACAAAACAACAGACGATAGTAGGAGAATGTTCGCCAGAAATTGGATCCTCACCGAGCCGAAAAAATGTGGGACTACCATGGCCAGCTGGCAGCTGGAAGGCCTATGTCATGAGCGACAACCCCCACGACTTGGAGGAGGGTTGGGTGGTGGTGATGAAAAACGGCCTGCGGCTCAAGGTGAAGACGGAGGTTGCTTGGTGACGTGGGACACCGCCAGGTGGTGTCCCAGTTAGCAAAGTTGGTTTATGACATAAAGGGCTGGTAGAAACATCATGATACATCTATAGTTACGGAGAGGTGCAATCCCTTGTCGGGCGGGGAAGAAATGTCCAGACACATGGTTGAGACAAGGCAAATGATCATGAAAAGTACAGCACCTTCAGCCCATACTATAAGGGTGGGCTTCACTAGCTCACTAGTCACTAGCCTAGTGTATCTGAACGAGAAGAGTTGATATAGATGGTCCATGGAATCAGTTTGCTGGTGGGATACACATATATATATATATACTTACAATACACATGTAAAATGTAATACATGTATAGGCACCATATCTTATTGGATATTCACTATTTATGATATATGTATTTGTAAATATATATATATATACATAATATATATATATATACACATTCAATTCCATTATTTATTGGTTGAACCTCTATATCTTCCACCTTTTCATCGAATCCCACAAAGAGGTGTATCACATGATCCACGGCTGGTGGTCTGGGAACATCTCCGTCAAAACGCTACGACCACTCTTCGAAGACGCGCGCATCGCAAACGTCTCCTGGGAGACGCTGCGGATGTGTTTGGTGGGCCGATGGCGAGGACGGAACAGGGCGGGGACGGTGGGAGAGTTACCTTATAGAGTGCCTAGTTAAGCATCAAATCATGGGGATATGATGAATCATGGCGTTGGTGGGAGAAGAACTTGGGATAGCTTGGGACTATGGGAAAATGAATGATTTATGATTTATGATTTAACTGTCAAAAATGAGGAGATTATGGTGATACGATTGGGATAAAGGGGATAGAATGCCCATATTCTCTAGTAAACTGACAGTTTGCCATGGAACAGCACATTTTTTTAATAGGTAAATCATGGAATGGGCTAGTTCTCATAGCTGTACAGTTTACCAGAGGGTATATAAGTGGTAAATAAGCCGTATTTTCTTGGAGCATATCCCATATGTAAGTGAGTTATTATATGCTTATTACCCACTTAGTAACCGGGATGCAGGTGCAAGCAAGTACCCCTTTGAATTCCAACGTTGAGGAAAATCACCTATGTGATCTATAAATGAGGGATTTAAATATCATATATCAATGGAAACTCCCGTTTCAAATCTGATTGTATTTTGGGAAAGGCAAAAACATGTTCGAAATGAGTCATAGATTTTCCAGCTAGCGGCTAGACGACCGGAGCGTGGGCAGGGGAGTGGGGAGTCCTTGTTGAGACAACGACAGGACAGGGTAGAAATTGGTGTGTATTGTGTCGGAAAGTATTTCGGTCAATGTGACTTCGTGTGTGTTCTGCGGCACAGATTGCACAGATATGGCTGGCTCACTGGCAGAATCGTCGTCCACTGGATTGGATACTTCCTGACTTTCGGGCCTATCTTTGCATGAGATGTCCCAACGTTCATATTCAAAAACGTCACAATTTCGACTCGCATGGCTTCATTTTCATGTGGCTCACAGTTATGGCCCTTTACCAGTTATAAGTACTTCTAACCCCATTTATAGAATGCTTAATCCCATAGAAATACCCAGTTAAAACTAATAAATGGTCACAACTGCAGGGTTTCTTAGACTATACACAGATGCTTCGCAGCTAGTGCCGCGTTCAGGACGTCGCCCGGAGCAGATCTACGACGAGCTCCGCTGCCTCCACGGACTGCTGCGCCGCTTCCACGGCGTCTGCGTCGACGCAGCGCGATCCACGCTGCGGGAGACGCGCGGCTGGCGGCTGGAGCGGCTGGCGGAGTTGGGGAGCGCTGGGAAAGTGGTGGAGCAGCTTGGTGGACCATGAGGTGATGGCGAAAAAAATGTTTTAATGGGATTTGAATGAGACATTAATGGTCATTAATGGTATTAGTGGTTAATAATGATTTAGGAAATATTTCTTGATTTAGGAAACCACACATTTTGAAATAGGGGCACCCCTAGTGGTTACCCAATAGCTACTAATGAGTTTTAATGCTTTAATTGGATGTCAATTATTGTTAATATTGATTGGGAAAGTTCTCCCCAACTATTTGGAGTCTGGGTTTGATGGTGTCTTTGGGATGTGTTTTGTTTATAAATTGCCAGTATTATCTATTATTATATTTACATTGTGTACATGTTAGGAATATCATGGACATAAGAACGGGTATAGAATTGGAATATATATATATAGTCATCCCCAACCAACTGGACTGGTAGTTTCATCCGTCAGTGTTTAACTGAAAATAGCAATAACCATCACAGTATTAGTTTTCCGGACTATATACCAAAGATTGACCGCGTAAAGATGTTTTAATGGGATAGCAATAATGATTAATATTCAATATTGATTGGGAAAGTGAACCATGAGTTGATGTGGAAATGATACTGCACATATAATCCCCAATATAGACTTATTATGAACTCTCTTGACAAGTATATTATTTAACATGGCTTAACACAGTTGGATCAACAGTTAAGCAATCCCAGCTGGCGCACCTAGCGGACCGGGGCTGTGATTTTTAAGGGGCATCCAAGGTCCTGTTCCGATGGTATGGGAAATCTACTTCGATTCGGCTGAAGGGTAATTTAAGTGCCATAAGTACAGGATGGTGCTTTCCAGTTAGAAGTTGGTTTATAAACCCCATGAACTAGTTCGTTATATCTGCCATAAACCAAAGTGAAATGGGAGTTATTTGCACCAACTTAGCTAACGAACTGGGGCACCACCTTGTATGGGAAATCTCCATTTTGTAATGGATAAATCACTGTAAATCATCTGCAAACGGGTTATCTTCCATGATTGGCTATGTTGAACTGCCACAGATTAACAGTATCCATACCGGCGTGATCCTTTCTATGAATGTGACTTTTTTGAATCGATATATAAACATTATAGACCTTTTGTATCCTGTTATGCACATTTATAAAATACCACCCTCATCAATGACTATTTCGGCATATCCAATCAATGATTATAATTTAAATATATAGAGATAGATATAGATCTCGATGAATATAGATATGGATAAATATAGATATAGATATAGCCGTGAATTTCGATTCTAAACTGGTCAAATTTGGATGATTTGGGAGTACCCCCATGACTTCGGAAACCTCCATATCTATCCATACAGTCATCACGGGGCTCATGGCTCCCCCTGACACCTGAGGTACATTCGCAATCAGAGAGGATGGTTTGAAGTAGCTGGATCTCCAATTTGGCAGCAGGTTTTCAGCTGGGATTTCCCTCCATCACTCTCAAACTTTCAATGAATCCATGTGATAGAAACAACTATCCAATACTATCCATAAATTGGATTCATTGAATTGAAACAAGTAGTATAGATGTATATACATTTCTATCATCCAATGATCATTTTCTGAACTGCTGGAAATTGGAGATCCAGGAAATTCCTGATGAAGTGGACCTGGAGAGCCTTCCAGTGACGTTTGATGCCCTACACTACGATGAGGCCGCGATTGATTTCGCGACCCCAAGCCATGCTGTTTTCACTCGTTAGGGAAAACTAGACTCGATTTTGATGGAATTGTCTTTTTGATGGCTATAGATGGGTAGTTAGAGATATAGATAGAGTTTCAACTGAGATAGAGATGGGGATAGAGATGGATATTTTTCATAGCTTTCGATTTGGATGCGGTTTCAGCAGTATAAATGAATTAGTGAAACTGGACCCGATCATTTCCTGAAACCGCCTGTCTGGCTCCCCCAGTCTCACGTTCCAAAAGATATCTCTGTCCACACCATGTAGAAAAGGCATCGCCATCCTGGAAACACATTTCTATCTGGGGGTTGCTTTAGAATAATCCAGCGTCTAGAGGGTCAAACATGACATGACTGAGTATGACTGAGTTGGGGTAAAATAGTCATTGCCTATGCATTTTCATGGGTCACCTGGGGATCTTGCTATTTTTGTCTTTCTTTCTATCTCTTGCTAGTTCTTGCTATTTATGTCTTCCTTTCCGTTCCTTTCCCTTCCCTTCCCTTCCCTTTTTCCTTTCCTTTCCTTCTTTGTTTCTTTCTATCTTTCTCTCTATTTGTATATATATATATATATACATATCTATATGTATTTAATATACATACATATACATATATATATATATATACATATGTATACATACTTTGTATGTATATGGTGGGTACCATGATTATAGATAAGAATTTCACACACAGCTGCTTTCAGCTCTAGGTTTGGAACATGATCCACGCCTGGTGGTCCAACCGTATCTCCGTCAAGACCATGTTGCCTTTGTTGGAAGACGCCCGCATCAACCAGGCAGAGAACAGCCCAAAGAGTGGGACATTTTAGCAAGAAAGATATGGATTTATAAGCAATAAAAGGGATTTATAGTGATTTTTAGGGATTTATTACGGGGATTCATAGGAATTATAGGGGTTTATAGTGATTCCACGGGAATCAACCAGGTTCTTGTTTGCAATCATGCAGAGTCTTATGAATTCAGTATTATTGACTTGGAGATAAACCTACTGGAGCCACCAAAAATGAATAACATAGTGATTTTGGATATGTTTGGTAACAAAATAATCTTCAAGATTCATGATATGTGTTTTTTAAGGGTTGCATGTTGGCTCCTCCTGGGGTGACCAATGAATTCCAATCCATACACAAATTTCAGACTGTGATCTCGTAGCCTTGATGGTTTGATGATGTTTGATGTATGTTTTGTTGAAATAAATTATTGTTGTGGCATATAGATGCATATAGTACATGTAGAAGTACTAAAAGTACTATTGAATTTGGATAGTAGGTTTTATTGAGACATCTCCTAACTATTTTGAGCCTATGCTTTATTAAGATAACTCAAGTGCTCTGTGCAAGGTGGGCCTTTTCAGCAACAATGACCTATAACTTGGTTAACGTGTAGGTTTATGCAGGATATTACTATAGTATACCAATTACAGTATTCATGGGGTTAACAAAAACAGCACCCATTTCCATGGTTTTCCCATGTTTTTTGTTTCCCATTGTAAGTACAATGTGGGCCCCCCCAGTGATAAGTTGGTTTATAAGCCCATCTAACTATAGTGATAAATACCATAAACCATAGTTATTGGACTTATAAACCAACTTAGCTGTCTATGGGGCCTCACATTGTAGGAAAAGGGCTCCGCATCGGCCCTCCAGGTGCCATTCGAGAGCATCCGTGAATGTCTTTGTGGTCCCTGTGCAACCGAGAAGCGCAACCAGAACGCCGATGCCCTGAAGGCGCGTGGATGATGGATGATGCCAAAAACCATGGTGATCATATAGGTACAAGGTGGCCCCCCAGTTTCTAGTGTTGGTTCATAAACCACCAAAAAACATCATCATGATTGCCATAAACATCCATAAACCCTAGTTATTTGCCCCAACCAATCGCTATCGATTGGGAGCCCCACCGTGGAACGGAACACATCCCAGAAATGGTGCTAGTCTAGTCAGCTGCTAATGGTCTCTGTATGGGTAAAGATATGGCCAAACGCCTTCAACATAATATAAATAGTGCTGTTATGACCCCTAACAGTTCTAAATGGAATTAGATATAACATATTATAACTCCTATAACTAAGGTTATATATCACTATAAGCCCATTTATATATATATATAACTGTTAAGGGCTAAAACTGTGGGTCATTCTGGCATTTCCATGCTGGCATTCCTGAAAAGCTCAGGCAGGGGACCTGCGCATCATTGCAAAGCATCCTGAATCCGAACACCGTAACACCTCAAATCTCAAACCCAGGCCCTACACCCTCAAAACCATGGAAAACCCTAAAACCAAAAGACCTAACCCTCGAAAAAGAACAAGTCTTAAACCCCTCGAAAAAGAACAAGTCTTAAACACTGCGAAATTGGAAACCTAAAGTTGATTTGGGCGAAATGATGTGTTTGGCAACAGTGTTTGGCGGTAAATATAATAGACAATGATCATTTGGGTTGAACAGACATGAACAAACCACCGGAGATGGAACCTATTCACATGAAAACATGATGCACAGACTATAGCGGATCCAAGTGATAATATGACCAACAAACATGATGTCTTATAAATGGAGATGGAGATTCGGTATATCATGAACTGACACAACAAACAACACTGGAACTCGTGTCTTAAAAATGGATTCTCCTCCCCGGGGTTAAACCATGTCCACATCTGCCCAGAAAACACAGGGACATAGAAATAGATCACTTCCCCACTAAGGCAGGAACATGCAAGAACTTGCTTTTTCCCTACCAATGTTTATATAGACAACTGTAACCAGAAACTGTATAGTGTTGGTTCTCCTCATCCCAGGCTGCCCAGGAAGATACGTCCGTTCTTGTTGGTAGATGTTGATTTCTGTTGTAAATGATACATAATTTGGATACTTAGGTCTTGCTAAATCAACAAGCGTCCCATTGTTATGAAGCATGTTCTTGATATGTTTGTCACGTGATTCCCCTCTTTTTGCATCCAATTTCCCTCATTTGATTGTTGAAACCTCTTCTGGTTGGTGGTTTGGAACCATGGAATTTTATGACTGTCCATTCAGTTGGGAATGGAATAATCATCCCAACTGACTTTCACTCCATCATTTTTCAGAGGGGTAGGTGGCTCAACCACCAACCAGCCATGAATTTCCGCCAGGCCCTTCTAGATCAACTTCGACCGATCTACGAGGCTGGTGGGTCTGGTCTTCCATGACTTGGACGATGACTGGGGGTTGTCCCTATTTTAGGCAACCCCCATTTCTATTGTGATTACATTACTGGTTGGTGGTTTGGAACATGTTTTATTTTTCCATATATTGCCATATATTGGGAATCATCATCCCCTATTGATGTAAACAAGATCAAAATTTGCATACTGCAGACTTGAGTTATTGCAACAAACTATAGTAGCTACTGCAAAGTTCCATGATTTTGACCAATTTTGACGGCCCTATATAAAGTATCCGACAGCAATTCCATGTATACCTTTCAGACCATCCTGCAGTTGTGGCCCAACTAGCAGTAATAAATGGAATGAAATAACTCCTATAACTAGCTGGTTGTATATCATGAAATAAACCCATAAAAAGAACTGTTAGTTGGGCCATAACTGTGGACATTGTGGACATTACCATTTTTAGCCCGATGTTTTTCACGGTGTTGCTCTTTGGCTCCGTGGAACAGCCGATCAGCAAATGTTACTATCCAAGTGGTGAGATTTTGACTATTCACAACTAGTTATAGCAAGGCGATTTAAGTGACTATTCAACTATTCACTTTCATACGTGATAGGTAGTTGTTTATAGTTGGATAGTTGCAGTATATAATGTTGTATAATGTTATATGCAGTTATCCACTGTAGAATCACAGCATCCCAAGAGGCCCTAAAGGATGGTTTGAACATACCAACTGGGAGCATACCCGGAGTGGCTCTGTGTGGGTAAAACAATGTCATAAACCACCAATTTGGGAATGGTAAACATACCACCAAAATAAATACTGATGACTGGGGGAGGGTAAACATGGCATTGTTTTACCCACATAGTGTATCCAAGAAGTCCAATCATAACAAGATCATCCAAATTCTCCATCTCTGTTTTTTCGCCATTCTGCGCAGGAATGCAAGAAGGATGCACGACAGGCTCTTCGTGAGACCCGCAACCAATCCTTGAAGGCGGGATGGATTGCTGGGGGCATAGATGTCCCAAATTCCCATTGGTTGGTTGATATTGGTTGATGAAAATAGAGGGGGTTCTTCAGGTTTACCTCTGAAAAACAAGAGGTTTCTATGATGATAGATGGGATTTTTCATGGATTAACCAGCTTCCGGCCCCAACCGATTTTTACCTTAAAAGGACATCACCAAATTGGCTGGGGGGTTTGAAACCCATCCGAGTCATCGAGGTTTCACCAGCTATTGAAGCCATGGCCATAGAAATAGTGGATTTACCCAGCTACAAAATGGTGGATCTTTCCATTGCTTTTTGTATGTTTACCAGAGGGTATGTTGAATCCTATGGCAAAAGTTTTGCCATCAACAATAGGGATATGTCGGATATAGGTTCTGTGCACGGATTAATCCGCCATCACAAGGAGCATGTTTACCCTACCCACAAAAAATGCATCGAAGATGGAATGTTCGGAATGATTACTCTTCCAAGTGCAATTTCGCGAGGCAAAAAATGCCAACTTCGGACGATTCCACCGGGGAACAGATGATACACCATTGGGTTCTTTTTTTTTGGCTACCCCATGTTCGGACTAACCCAGATGTACTTTGACTCGTGGTTTTGCGAATTTTGCCACTCACCAGGCAAAAACACATGCTCTGAGTTTGGTATATAATCTCATATGACTATGGAACATCACAATCTCCAATACTTTCAAAAAGGTGATTCATCGAGCAAAATATGCTATTTTTCATAGCAAATTGTTAAGTTGCCAGAGGGTAGTTTCCATGGTTCAAACTGCGGTTCTTGATCAATCCTCAGTGTTGATCCATCCGTCCAACTATATCCAAGTACCAGAAATAGGAAATTGCACATTCCGCAGCAAGTTCGATGATGTTCCCATTAAAAATAGATGCCCATTTGTAGAAAATCCACCATCAAGGCATTTCAATCCTCCTTTTTTAAGTTGATTTTCCGATTAAAACTGCATCAGACTTTCCATTTTAAGTGGATTTCCCCATTCAAACCTCCATTTTTCCCTGGAATTCGTTTGGCTACTGCGCAAGTCATCTGCAGGAGTTGAAGAACCACTCCATGGCAAAAGTCTTTCAGCACCTGGTCAAACACTGAAGCTTGAGGGGCGGAGCGAGGGTTTATGGCAAGATTTTCATAATCCACTTACTAAGTAGCTTATGTCCCTGGCTATAAGTGGGATAAGTAGAGTTAATCACTTGATCTACTTATATCTAGGGTGAACCACGTAACCTAGCATGAATTACGTCCTTTCAGTTTTTATTTGAAGTTTTGAAGATCGCTCAAGTGGGATGAGCCGCCAAGTGAAATATTACAATACTCTCTAGATTATAAGTTATAACAGTAACTATCTATAATAGTCAATATATTAAACATTTAGTAATAGCAAATGATCATAAATGTTGAATACTCTGGTAAATTACTATATTAGTCTAGGTCTATGGTAACCTGGTAGATTACAAGACATTTTTCAGCATTCTGTTAACATTTGGTTGATAACATCAAGCTATCTTCATAAACCAACCTGTAGATATATCTGTAACATTGTTTATATTTGCAAACTTGTGATGTTACCTCTCTCATGAAAGGGTTGGCTGGCCTTTGAGAATCCCCCACGTCACCAGAGGGTAGAGCTTGTTACAGGGAAGTTCACCAACTTTTTTGGCATCGCGTTTGTGGCTGGCAGGAAACGCATGTTACAAAGCGGCTAGGGCCCCGTTTTCGCTAAGTTGGTGTATAACTGCCTAGATTATATAAGTATGGTTTATGGTAGATATATCGAACTAGTTATAGATGGGGGGTTTGTTGACCAACTTACAAGTAGGGGGCCCCACATTGTAGTAAAGCAATGATAAACCATGATAAACCCATATTTTATTAAAATGCCAAGGGGGTGCCCCGTATTTAGCTACTGTAGGTTGGTTTATAAATGTTTAGTTCACTAGGTTAGCTATGATTTATTGATATTTGCGGTAGATATTTCTTTCTGATCTATGGATATTTATAGATATTTATTCACTAGTCTAGGGGCAGCAGCACCTGGGTCCGACACCCAGGGTGCTTCGTGGACGACGAGGATGGGTCGACGCCATCCCAGAGGCACATCATGGGGTAACCTGAGCGAAAATTTTCAGGTTACCCGGTTACCCTCTGGTAAACTAACATAACTATGGAAAATCACAATGTTTAATGGGAAAATCCACTATAAATGGCAAATTTTCAATAGCTATGTTAAATTACCAGGGGGTAGTCTACATGGCATTTTACTAGCCCAACTATATAATGTTTAATATAAATGGAATGAAATAACTCTGAATACACTTATAAATGGAATGAAATAACTCCTTTAAATAAGATTATATATCACTATAAAGCCCATTTATAACTGTTCAGAGTCATAACTTTAGTGGATTATTGCATTTCAGCCAGATATACAATCAAGCAGAACGAGAATCATCAACACAGCAGGGTTTCAACCAAATCAACAATCAACAAATACGGATTTAACCTGACTTTTCCATCAACAATGGGGTTGTCAAAATAAAAAACAGGGGATGTTCGAACTGGGGTCAACAAGATTCAACAACATGGGTCATATTTACTGGCAGGCAACAAAATGTAATTACAAGTAATCAATACGAGGATTTCTCTAGCAAGAATCAGCACCAAATGATTCAGGATGGGTTTCTTGTGACCCAACATGGTAGAAGACGGGAAACACGTTTAAAAAGAAACTCGGTGAGTCCAACATTGCTTAAGCTGAAGTCAGGCCAGCAAGTCTCAAAGTTGAAGAGATAGGAAATCTATAGGAGAGGTTGGTTGTTGTGAAGCACGGATGGCAGAGCGAATCCACTGATGGATCGAAAGGTGGTTGGATTTGTGTTTTTTCCCCACCTGCCAGGTGAGGGTTGTTAGATTTCGCCTCCTCCGCCTCCTCTGTCTCCTCCGCCTCCTCACCCGCCGCCTCCTCCTCGCAGTTCAGATCCCAGTGGGCACAGCCGGACCTCCACCGCGAGCTCCAGATCCCAGTGGGCACTGCCGGACCTCAACCGCGAGTTGCAGATCGCAGTGGGCACTGCCGGACCTCAACCGCGACTTCCAGGTCGCAGTGGGCACTGCCAGACCTCAACCGCGACTTCCAGATCGCAGTGGGCACTGCCGGACCTCAACCGCGACTTCCAGATCGCAGTGGGCACTGCCGGACCTCAACGGGAAGAATGCCAGAAAAGATGTCAGATAGAAAGTCAGAAGATATGCCAGATAGAATGCCAGAAAGAATGTCAGAAAGAATGTCAGAAGATATGTCAGATAGAATGTCAGAAGATATGCCAGATAGAATGCCAGAACATATGCCAGATAGAATGCCAGAAGATATGCCAGATAAAGTGCCAGAATGTTTGCCAGATAGAATGCCAGAAGATTTGCCAGATAGAATGCCAGAAGATTTGCCAGAACATATGCCAGAAGATATGCCAGAACATATGCCAGAAGATATGTCAGAACATATGCCAGAAGATATGTCAGATAGAATGCCAGAAGATATGCCAGAAATAATGCCAGAACATATGCCAGATAGAATGCCAGAAGATATGCCAGAAGATATGCCAGAACATATGCTAGAAGATATGCCAGATAGAATGCCAGATAGAATGCCAGAATATATGTCAGATTATATGCCAGAAGATTTGCCAGATAGAATGCCAGATAGAATGCCAGAACATATGCCAGAAGATATGTCAGATAGAATGCCAGAAGATTTGCGAGTAACAAAATGTATAAATGTCATTGTGGGGATCACACGAAGTAAAGTAATTTGAGTGGTTGCAGTGGTCACCTCAACCACAACTGCTGGATGTAGTGTGGTGCAGTGCAGTTGTAGTTGTAGTCGTAGTTGTAGCTGTAGTTGTAGTGTAGTGTAGTGGAGCTGTATTTGTAGTGTAGTGCAATTGGAGTAGTCTAGTGTAGTGTAGTTGTAGTGGTTGTTGTAGTTGTAGCTGTAGTGTAGTGTAATTAGTATAGTGTAGTTGTAGTTGTGGTTGAAGTCGTGGTTGTAGTTGTAGTTGCAGCTGCAGTTGTAGATGTAGTATAGTGCAATGTCGTTATAGTTGTAGTTGCAGTTGTAGTGTAGTTGTAGTTGTAGTTGTATAATTCTAGTTGTAGTTGTATTCGTGCCGTGAACGTCCAAAACTGGTTCGAACATGTGGTGTTTTCACCATTTTAATGACTTGGAAATGTGCTTCGCGCCACAACAGCGTGCAATTTTTGATCTCTCATCTCCCCAGATGGCTCCGCATCCACCCGCCGCTTTAGCGAGCTTACTTTTCGATTCTCCGGAGCCACAAAACATTGGAAAAAATACAGTTTACCCGACTTTTCTACCCTTTCGCGCGCCTTGATCTTGTTTCTACTGACTCTTTCTCTTCTCTGAGTCTTCCCACCTCTGCATTTTCCATCTGTCCATATTGTCGCATGTTTGACTTTCAAACTTCCTTCGATTATAACATGGTAGCGAGTTGTATATTATTGTGATATTGTTGGGTTTACCACATGTCACATTACCCAGTGTCGATTCGTGAGAATTTTATCCAGATCCATCCTTCCCTTAGTGGGCCCTCTCCCCCTAGGACGTGGATGTGGATGCCCTTGAAATCTCAAGCGAGGCAGTAAGGCCCAGGGGCTGCAATATGGATGGACGTCGGGTTTGAACATGATTTAACCACCAAAAATCGTGGTTTATCCATTAGAAGTGATACTTTACCATCCAGGACCATCAAAAACGGTGGTTTAACTATCAACAATGGTGCTTTAATTGAGAGACATGCACGCTGTTTATGCAGTTTCCCTGCGCATGTTCGTTGTTTCAAAACATGGCAAGCGTCAAAAACCATCAGGAACATTTTACAACACCCTTAAATACCAATTCAAAAACAATGTGTGTCAACGATAGTGATGATTACTAACAATCATTGAAAACACATTAAACACAAGGTGGTGCCCCCCAGATATAAGTTGCATGTTTTTACTGTTAACATAAACCAACATCATCTTTAAGTATTTGTTGGGGATCATATTCCCGTTTCTGTTGACATCAGCCCCTGTGAAAAACATTGGATGATTTCCACCAACCGTTGGATGCGCATCTCAGGCACATATAACATATAAATAATATATATATATATATATAGCTTACATATACCTACCAACCCTTAGCTATATATGGTTTATAAAGCCCTTAGCTTTGATACCTTTTATTTATTTGTATATATATATATATTATGGGTTATAACTAGGAATATTTCATACATCCATTTACGAACCATGGGATACACCAGCGCCAGGTTCCTCTTCCTCCCGCGTGCGGAGCGCGCAGAACGTGAGCTGCAGGGCATTCTTGATGCGGCGGCCCTGGAGCACCTGGAGACAAAGTGCCCTGGCGTAGCGCGGAGCGGTAACGAAGTGAGGTTACCCAGTATTTAACGGTTTGCGAAATGGAACAATGCCTTTTTTTGTAGTTAAATCAAAAATCATTTATATATTAACTATGGGACTAGTCAGTGGCATTCGAAGAAATAATGATGGATTTAAACATCAACAGTAGTGATGTGTAATGGGTTTATAATTCAGATACTGGGGATATGGGGATATACTAGTGGAGGATCTAAACATCAACAAAGTGGGAGACATAGATGTCCTATTCTCATTGGTTGGTTGGTCAATAGAGGGGATCAACCCCACCCCTAACAACCAAAAAGCAAATGATGATAGATGGTATACCAAACCGGCCCCTCTATTTTTTCCAAGTGGACAGTATAGGTGTGAGGATTTAAATCAAACATGGAGAAATTAAATCAATTTGGCATATTTTAGCCATTTGTTGGCAAAACATAGGGGGTTTAATCAACAAATTTGGGAATTTAACCATCAGCAATGGGGATTTAATCAATAAACAATGGATATAACGGTGATATATATATAATAAGATTGTATCAATAACCTTAACAATACTTTAACATGGAGGATTTGCCAACAAAACATGGTGGTATAAACCGTATGGTGATACGACCGGGATGCAAACATTTTGTTTGGTTATTTGTAAGTTATTTGTTCTTGGCTAGAAAAAAACTTGGTATGATGGTAATTACATGATATGTGTGGCTATTAAAAACTGTGAAACATACGTATTCCTTTGGAATTGGGGCTTTGGAGTCTTCTAGACGGATTTTTCTTCGGAACTTGTTAACTAGTTGTGTATGAAGGGCCATTAATGATCCAAAGGATGAAGAGAAGGAGAGATCTCCGACATCTTTGCGGCGCCCGGTTTGTTGCTGTTCCCATGTAAGCTGAGGGATGCAGTCCCTAAATTAGAAGGTAATTTACGCATGTTTGCACATTTTGGAGGATGTGATGCAAAACATTGGGGAAAAAACGCTTTGCCATGCGAATTCGGTGTCACCAGGTCACCAGCTGGAAAAATCCAGTGACATCTGTGAGATCACTTTGCCACCGTTTTTGGCCTGGTTCCTATTGAATTCAATACATCACAGGATCAACCGACTGGATGGCTACAGTCGTTTAATCCATTTTAAATTTTAATATATTTTAATCCTTCATTTCCTTTTGCGATTTCAAGAGGAAGATCTACTAACCATTTTAATGCAACGCATGTAAGATTGGCAACGATCAACCCAACCCAAAACGTGGTGTCCCGTCGGATGAAAACCCTCAACTGTCAAAAGTTGTTCCCCTCTTGCGGAAAGCACCATGGATTTGTTGATCTCAAATCGGTTGACATCCACAAGGTGATGCCCCCTAACAATAGCTAAGTTGGTTTAGTTCACTAGGTGAATTCTATGGTTTCTGGTAGATTTATCTATAGTTCGATGGGGTTTATAAACCAACAGGTGTGGAATTGGTGGAAGAAGCCCGGCAGAGGTGCGATGCTCATGCTCGCATTAATGTACACCTCGCATGGTTTGGCAACGAACTCGTCGGCGAACACGGCATAGCACAGAACCCCAACTGGCCGAGAATGACGGCCCAAATGGCCACTGACCTGATGGCTGACAGTCTTCGTCATCTCCGATGGTTGGAGCTCAAATGCCACAGTTATGGCCATTTATTAGTTATAGGTGGGTATTTCTATGGGATCATACATTCTACAAATGGGGTGACTTAGTACTTATCATAACTTGTAAAGGGCCATCACTGCAGGAGTTGGATGAACAAAAGCAGTTCAAACCCAATAGCATCCTCATGCTCCGATGAGATGTATCCCTCAATTTTTACTGGGAACACCGTCGAACCAAATTGCCGATTTTTCAGCAGACCATGTTCTTGAGTCAATCCCCAATAAATAGTTGGATTAATCATTATTCCCCCATATTCTTTAAATATCTTTAAATTAATCCCAATTGTTTTTGTTTGGATTACTCATCATTATTCTTGGCAGTTTTCGTAGATTCATCGGCAATTCGTCCCCTATTCCATATTAATCAAATCTATATTTCTTACGGCCACCCAGGCCCCTGCGCGCAGTCCTGATGTGTTTGGAGGCGAGGGAGTGGTGAGCTCGTGACGGAACACCACCCAACTCAATCTTGTGGATTTGAAATAAATTTCGAAACTGGAGCAGAAATAGATGGGATGGTCCCAACATGTCCCATCATCAAATTGTTTTGTATACCAGTTGAAAGTTTGATTCCTCGATTCAAAAGAAATGCAATCCTCTCCCCTTGGTGTAAGATACGTACCCCTGTACTGGATCGGTTTGCTGGGGCTTTTTTTGGGCGGTGTTTATTCCAAGCGAGTTGCAATGGAAGATTCTCGTTGATCTTTGGGATGGGTTCGAACTACCAGCATGGCCCAGGCCCTTTGTTCGTGTTTCCACACCTCCCATGCAAATCATAGTCATGAACCCTGATGGAAAAAAACAAACACACCAAACATAATCCAAACATCACATATCTTTGAACTAAGCCTTTTCCACACAAATTACTAAACCTATCAAGTTGCATCGGAAATCGTTGTCTGCTGAAGTTTTCACCGTCGCATCAGGTGTTGCCAAAGAAAGCGACATTGAAGGATTTGGAGGCGGATCTACAGAAGCCCATTGCTGAGGAGCACCGAAATCGCTGCAGATCTGCGGATGAGGATCCCAGAGAAAGTAACCGTGGCACACATGTGAGGGAATTTTAGGGATAATTTTATCTGGTTGGTGGTTTGGAACATGATTTGTTTCCATATATTGGGAATTCCATAATCCCAACTGACTTTCATATTTTTCAGAGGGGTAGGTATACCACCAACCAGTTATGGAAAATCAAGGAGGTTGAACAACGGCAATAAAGACGAATGGCCGTGGATATTTTTTTGGGAAGATGGAAAAGTACTGGGATTTACCCTCCGGTGTCCGGAAAAAAGGTGGGGATGGAACATGTCCATATACATGGAGGTGTCTAGCTGGGAAAACACATACAAACTATGTATTTTTCCACTACCATGTTTGATTGCCGGAGGGTAGGTGTTAATTAGATATTAACTAGATGTGATGGAGTTTTTTTTTGTATTGTTTGGCTGTTGATGGGAATTAACTATATAGTTTGTTGGTTGATGACTAGTTCTGGTGTTACATTACCACATATATTTTGGATTATCATGACCCATTTTGACCAGCCAATATAACGGGACAACAAAGGATTTTGAACACTGCTGGTGATATGTTTGATGATTCTACTCGCAAGCAGAAACAATGGCTAGATACCACTATATATATATATGTATACATATCTTGATAAACAATGGTTATGCGATTGGCTATGTTGGTTTACATCAACTGCTTGGTGGAGTCAAACATTGTTTAAAACATATTCCACCAATGAAATGGGATTATGATCTCAAATGACAATATTAAACTTCTACATGGAAATACAATTCCACTTATAAGTGGCCACAAGTGGACACATTATCATAGCTATAGGGGCCTCATATCCCAACTTACAATGTGAGCCTCCTCAGTTATAAGTTGGTTTATAAACCCCATTAACTATAGTTATATCTGCCATAAACCATAGTTATGGGAGTTATAAACCAACTTGGCACCACCTTGTATGGGGGTTGAGTTTACCATAGTGATTTTTATAGATATGAAACTATATGAATAGTGGTTAATAATGACAATTTATGGTGCTCAAGGGGGATTAATGGTAATATACCCTCTGGTAAACTGTGAGATAGCGAACTGGAAAATCACCATTTGTACTAGGTAAATCAACTATTTCTACGAGCCATGTTCAATACCTATGTAACAGTCATCACCAGAGGGTAATCCCCAAAATAGTCAATCAACCATCATTCATCAGCTATATCCACTGATCTCCCCCTTATTTCACTGGGTAAACCATGGCTTTTGACCGTGAAAAGTGGGAGCTTTCCGGTAATTCACTGCAGGTGACCAGGCTCAGAATAGCCCTGGGTCGTTGCGGAGTTGTTGGGTAGGTCAATGGCTTGATCTATTGACTATGCATTGTGGCTGATGCATAGTGAATAATTAATAGCCATGTTTTGACTATGCATAGTGAATA